AAGGTACACAGCCCGGATATGCAACCTCTCTTATTCAAAAGCAGTCCAATTACCTCCAAAATCTGGCCTCAAGCGAATATCATAGCCCTTCAGCAGTCTATCCACGGTCTCTTTTACCAGTGACATATTACTAGGGTCATTGACACTAAAGAAGAAAAAAGAACAATACTACATTATTCCCGATTTCTCAGCCCTCAGCTGTACATTCCTCTCAGCAGCAGCATGCACTGCAATTCAAAGTAAAGGAAAAGAGATACCTTCATTGCTTACCTCTGTGCACACACCACGGCTATTATTAAAGGGAATGACCAAATCCCAAAGTAACCCTTTCTCCGGACTCTCAGCATCCCTTTAGCTTTTGATATGATTTAGGGTTTCAGTGAAGAGAAGAAGAGATCCAACTTATTCTGGCCAGTGCAGTAATTCTAATGTGAAGCGCATGCGCACGGCGTACCACAACATCAAAAGGAGCAGTGGTTGCTGCTGGAGATGGAGCAAATTTCCTTGCCCAGAAAAAAAAAAAAAAATTAAAGGGGAAGGAGGAAATGCATTGTTAAAAAAAAAACACCAAAAACCACAAAACAACAAAATAAACTCATCCACAGGAGGATCCACTATATTTTTGTTGTCCTTTTTGTTAGCATAGAATATAAATCAGTGCAAGAAGTTTCAGGAGTTGCAGGGTACGGCGGCTTTGCAACCTAGTTCAAGGAGGTGGGGGGGCCGGCCGGCCGGACTCGGCTTAGGCAGAGGGAGAATAGGTTAAAAAGGGGAATGCACAGCGTACGTATAGGGGCAGTTTAACTTTTTGGTCCCTGGAAAGAACCTCCTGAAGCGAGGAAGGTGCGGGCAAAGGAGCTGGCGCTGGCAACGGGGGCGGGCGGGGGGGAGGAGGGGAGATGGGCGCCTACAGTATTTCTCACAGAGAAAAAAAAATGATGACGAATAGTTTCTTGCAAGAGAGGATTAGGCTGTTTCTTCCCTTACTGTGATGCCAGGTGCTATTCCGGGAGCAGAGGCGCTGGGGACCGAGGGGGTCGCCGGTGCCACCGCGGCTCCCGCGGGTCATTGGCTGGTGCCTGAGGGGCGGGCGCGGAGCCCCCCCGGCCCCGCTCCCCCCGCCGCCTTTGCCACACACCGACCGATATTTAACCCGGGGATGCGAGTTCTTCAGGGAGAGCGAAACCTGCCCACGGAACCGGGGGAGGGAGGGGAGCCGAGGGGAAGAAAAACACCACCCTGGAAGGTGGATGGCTGACCATCCAGACTCGGTGTAGGTGCCTAAGGCCACTTACCTTAGCGGGTAAAACACCCAAGCTCTTCAAACGCAGCGTGTGATCCAGTTAATGCCTCGGAAGAAACAGGCGACGAGCGGAAAGCTGATCTGGGGATGCTTTGAGTGACATTTAAATCGTGAGCAGAAAAAAGATAGAAAGGAGAAGGGAAAAACCAGACTCGCGAAAAACAACAAACACCGGAGCTAAATTATTCCTCTCAAATGTGCTTTGTGCTCGTCGCTCTTTACACCACCTCCTCCTCACGCACACAGCCGCCAGCCCCGCGGATCTGTGCTGCTCCACCGAGCGGATCTGGGCGGGCACCGTCCTCGACCGGCCCGGGTGCGCGGACAGGGGATTGGGAACACTGAGGGAGTCAATTAACAAAAGAAACATTTAACTCGCTGCAGGAGGGTGGGGGAGCGGAGAGGGGAAAAAAGAAAGAAAAAAACCCAAACCCAAGAGAAAAGGGCGGGTAGTGGGGGAGCCGGTACCGCGCGGTGCCGGCGCAGGGTGAGGCGCTCCGGAGCTCCCTGCCGTGCCCTGTGCCTGCCGCACCCGCGGAAAGCGGCGGGCCCGCCCCTGAACGAACGCAGGGGTGCCCGTTCCGGCCCCACTCCACACCCGGCCCGGCTGCCGGAGCGCCGGGGGGCCCAGGGCCGGGGGGCTGGGCGGGCGGACGGGCGGTGGCTCCCGGGGAAGGGCTGAGGGGAGGCGGGGGGGTGAAGCCTCACCTGGGGGGCGGAGAGGGGGGAGCGTTGCCCCCGAGAGACGGCAGAGCTGCTGAAAGGAAGGAACAGCCGAACCCTGGCGCAACCGGCAGCCCGGAAAGCTGGCAGCCATTGAACACGGCCCGGCAGAGCCGTGACTGGAGCGCTCGGCAGCGGGGCAGCCCCGCAGCTCCCTCCTGCCAGCGCGGCCCGTCCTGGAGCGGCAGCGGGGGCAGAGCTGCCCCTCAGCCCCGGGGGCACAGCTGCCCCTCAGCCCCGGGGGCACAAGCTGCCCCTCAGCCCCGGGGGCACAAGCTGCCCCTCAGCCCCGGGGGCACAAGCTGCCCCTCAGCCCCGGGCAGCTCTCGGACCGCCCCGCTGCGCCTTCGAGCTCCGGGCAGCACCTGCTTGGCTTTTCTTACGGCAACGAACATCCAAACACATCTTTTGGGGGGACTGGGGGCGATTCGTCGAGACTTATTTTTACCGCCTTCTCCTGTTTGTTAAAACTAGAATTACACAAGGTGAGAAAATACACTTTTCCAGCTGAAATTGCCAAGCGTGTGTGTGTGATAAATGTGTCTCATTCGTGTATTCACAAGAAAAAACAAACAAAAACCCAAACAAACAAAAAACAAACAACCAAAAAACCGTTAAGGAACGTTTAAGGATTTTTAAAACCGCAACCCTGGAACCCCCACCTCGTGTTCCAGCTCTGTTCCGTGGCCGGTGTTCCAGAGCCGCTCTCCCTGTTCACCAGCGGAGGTTTCTGTTCTCTCACACAGCCAGGCTGCCTCACTGCCAAACCTCTTGAAATTTAGCCCTGAAAGGAAGATGGTGGATATGCTGTGCAGCGAATCATTTTACTTTAGATCTATAATAGGCACCTTTTTCCTTCTGCAATCATATGACAAGAGCAGGAGGTCTCAAGATAAAACACTTGAATCCTGCCCTGTGAAATTCACCTGCAAATGCTAACTTGGGACTACAGTTGGCACTCCTTATTTCTCAGCCGTTTCTGAGCCTCTGCTATTAATTGCCATTACAGTACAGAAATGTGTCATTCACCATGGCTGATTATGAACAAGATAACAACATGAACCTGATGCTGAAGGCTGGTAATATTCAGTGTTGCACTGATAGGAAGTTTTGATTTACATATCAACTCAAACTCAGGGGCAGAAAAGTCCCACATTTTCATTGAATGTTAAAATAGTACACAAAAAGAATCCAAGCTATGCCAAAATATCTAGCATTTGTTCTTTACTCTGGTGTATGCACTAATACTCAGGGAGCACTTGTTCTGGGCCCAGAGCACCACTGTGCCATGTGTAGTGAAACCTGCCCTGTCTGGCTCTTCTAGCAAAAAGGACTGAATATATCTCAAATGAATTCAATACAAGTGGATATTACTGTGCATTATGTGTGGGAAAATTAAAGTATATGCATGGGTTTGGGACATGGAAAGGAACTACTGAACCATGTTTGGGATGATCTGCATAACTTACTATGGCTATAAGTGCACCATTATATAAATGGGTCTGTGGCAGTAACACTATCTTAGCACCATTCCAGGCTCTGTGTGCCCAGAGCAGCCTATGACACAACATCATTATATATTGACAGAAGTACAAGGTCATGCAATACTTTGTGTTTTGAAAAGGTTCTCATACTTTGCTATGCACTTTTGACATTACCACTCTTTCTCTGACCACAGGGTTCTGGTCTGTCTCTGCCGTTTAAAATTTCTTATCACCTTCAAAATCTCCCATTTATTTTAAGCAACTTGTCAAAGAAATCGTTCCCCTCTTTTTCTCACTTGTGTCTGTGTGTTTGATTGAAAAGTAGAGGAAGTAACTGGTGTGAACAAGACTTTGGGTGTCTTACAATGGGCAAATAACCTGGTTTCCAGCTGGATATGGTACTTGCAGCTCTAAAAATATCTCAATTAAACTACAAGTACTGTAGTCTCACAGAGAAGCCAGCAAAGATGGTCATATTTTAAACAGCAATTGTAGATTATTTTGATTCTCAGCTTTCAAGACTGAAGAATGCAAAAAACCAGTCCCCAAGGGGAAATCCTCTATGCAAGTAGCCCCCAGCCCTTGCCGGGCAGTGTGAGACACTGTGAAAGAAATGGGCTATAATGGAACATTGTACTTCACTTGTCAGCCCTTGACTGTGGCAGCATTTTCCTGTCACCACGAGTAATATCCCAGGCCATGTACTAAGAATTCCAAAGGATTTTCAAATGGCTTTCTGTAAATTTATAGATTAATGAAAAATAAGCTTTCATATGGAGTAAGAATTTCAAGATAGGTTCTCAAGTGATCCAATCACTCCAGTCAGTAGAGACAGAAGAGATGGTGATTGATGGCAGCTCAAGAACGGTAGCCCTGTATCACAAGCAATGTGACTAAGTGCAAAATTCCACTTGAAAAAAGGATTCTTTTCACTGCACCTGAACAGGCTGGTATGAATACAGTTCTATGAAAATGATGTTTCCAGAGCTTTTGAGCATTTGGATGAGGTGCAGTAGTACAGAAACACTCAGGTAAAAGTTGATTCAAGTTATGAGATAAGACATAATTCTCTAATTTACGGAAGAATGTTAATATTTTGCTACATTATGTCAATTTCCAACTCCTGTAAAGCCATAAATTCATGTAAAAGAAAACAAAATATAGTCAACCCTGGTAGAAATTTTTTGAACAAGGCTTCAATATACTTATCTTGTTTCACTTGTCATTTTAGGTCTTCAGATCTAAGGTGTCCCAGTCCATGCATCACACAGCATCCCATTAGCAATCAGCCTGTCAGCATAAAGATCCCTGTTACATCACATACACAGAAAACTTATTCATGCAGGTGTATCTGATTCTGCTTTTCATGGGCAGTGGAATTCACTTCTGCATAGTGACAATCTTCTGAGATTTACAGATTGACCAACTTCAGCTCCCATACATCCGAAAGAATCCAAATTGGCAAATATATTGACAAAAGCAATAGTGGATGACCTGCCAGCTATACTGCTCTTGGCCCTTAAAAAACTATGAAATTATTAGTATTGTACAGAAACTGATTCTGATCAGTTGCTTAGGAATCAAGTACTAATCGATACAAGCATGAGCTTCACTTAATTGTCAGAGAAGAGCAAATGGGAGGGGCAATTAATAATCACTTACTGGTTTGCATAATTATGTAGGATTTGATTTGCTGGAGCTCCTACTTCTGTAGCTCACTGCATGGAGCTCCACAGGGTTACAGACACTCTAAGGGAGAACTTCCCCCAGCTCATGACCCAGGCTATGCTTCATGAGTCAAAGACCTGCTATATCCTTTAACAAAAATCTTTTGTGTCGCTTGAGATCAGCAGATCTTAGATGTATACTGAAGAAAGTCTTTTAATGTGAAACTGAATTACAGCTTTAAAAAAAAAAAAAAAAGTAAAAAGATGTGCGAGACATCCCCAGGTGCTTTGATTGCAGACAATTGTCAGCAACTCAGTGGGGACCAGAGTGAAACTCAAAATGCCTGGCACCTGGAATTACGAGGGATTGAGATCTACAGTCCTCTTATCAAATTATGAAAGCACCACAAAAAGTCCTATTTCCTTCAAAGTGGTAGAATAAATTAGTTTAAGAGCTATATAGACAGCATTTTAATTCCTCAGTTTTAGCTTCATTGGCACTTAGATAGTTGGAAATACCTGCATTATACACACCCTTTGAGAGGAAAGCAGGGCAGAATGAGGGATTGCATAGAGTAAGGATACTAAAACACTTAAAAGACAGAAAAAATGTTCACCAAGATGATGTCACTCTGTGTCTAAATCTCCTCCATGCTGTTTGTGTAAGATTCAGCCCTGAAAGAGATTGCAAAAAGCTGTTATTAAATTAATGGAGTGGCATTTGTCTGCATCAGCTGATTGCAGGATTTGATCTTCCTTTCTAAGCTCTCTTGGACAGAGAGAGTTGGTTTCCTAAATTTTTTACACTGGGTAATAAATTCCAAAATAGTGCTGTAAAAAATATCTGAGGGTTCTAAAACTCTTACGTTGGAAGCTTTTGATTAAAAAAAAAAGTTTTCTTTTTAAAGCCACGTAGCTTCAAACATCAGTCTTGGGACTGGTATAACTGTCTGCAAGTTTTAAGATAAAGACAGAAATCTACCTAGTTTGAGCTGGATATTTCTTTAGCTGGAAGGACTTCACTTTCTCCTCATTAGCACCACCTTGAACAGGTGAGGGGACAACAGGGGGACAATTCAATAGAAAGAATTCAAGGAGAAGTATTATCAGTGGATATGAGCAGTGCTCAAACTGCTCTCCAGGCAGTTTTTAGTAAGAGCTGGAGTAAACATGTCTGTATCTTACTGTAAAACACATTCCAGTCATCCTTTTGGTGGTGTTCAAGAATGAGAGATGAAACTCTTTCTTCAAATGTATAGTGCTATTACTTCAAGCCTTCTTCCAGACCAGAGAAAACACAGTGCTCTTCACTGTCTTTCACCTTCTTTCAAGCTCATCCCAAATGTGCTTGTGTCAATAATCCTGTCCTTTACTTGCTGTCCTAAAACCTCAACTAGTCCTGGTGAGGAGGAGATGTTCCCCAGTGCTGCAGTAAGCAGAAATACATGTTTTGTAGCACATTTTGCCCCTGACTGATCCTTTGTTTTGGCCAAATGTTTAATGGAATTGATCCTTGTTTTACTGTGATCTGCCTCTATTTACAATGCTAGAAGGTAGAAATCTCACTGACAGATGTTTCTGTTCAGCAGCAATGACCAAGTCTGAATGGCACAGTTTTGCTGAGTTGAGAATGTTTTCAAAGAGCTGCATTTTGCATTTCTGCACCCTCCACAGAAAGAGTATTGTTACTTAAAGGGTGTGACATGGTCACGGAGGGAGGGCCAGTCAAGGTGGCAAAGGCACCCGTCCAGCCCATGCAAAACCAGTTTCTGCTTACCACAGACAACACTTGGGGCAGCAAGTTACCCTTTGTGGGTATGTATGCATCAAAGCACATCTAAAGAAGTGCAAAACAGGTAAGGTCAGATGAGTGAATGATACACAAAAGTGAAATTTGACATCGGAAAATAAAATTAGCTTAGCATAGAACACACAGTTGCAGATCCTAGAGGAAATTATGGTAATCCTGGGGAAATCAGAATGCCAGGACAGGAAAAAACCAAACCAAAACACTCAAACCAACAACAAAACTACTTGTGGAATAACCCTTCTCAAGAAACTATACACAGGACAAAAACTAGTAATACTGTCCCTACTTACCATTGCATTCAAGGATCTCTCTGGAATACTTCAGTGTTGCTGTGGATGGTTATCTTTCATCCAGCTCTGACCTGAAAGAGATCTCATTCATGCAAAGCAGTCAGTTTGTACAGGATTGCTATGCCAGGCTCACAGTTGAGGTAGGTGAAGCACACACTGGCTAAACACCCAGTTCCTACTGAAATTAATGGCAAAATCCACATTCAGCTCAGGAGCAGTAACACCAAGGCCCATCATACAAAGCACTAAATGTCAGAAAACTGGAAGAGGCCCAAGAGTCATGATTATTCAACAACTTCTTACCAATCTGGTCTCTACCATATTTCCGGGGAAATTAAAAAGAAATACTTTGGAATTTTTATCTAATGATGAAAAGAAAAACATCCTCACATTCTTGTATTTTTTGAAGCTACAGCTTTCAAAATAGAGGATGCATCTTATTGTGGAGAGGTTAGAGTCTGGTACAGGTGTGTTCTGTCCTCAAGCAGTGGTAGGGGAGCTCAGAGTGGGTTTGAAGTCATTCTGAATTTGTT